GCCCAAGAGTTGGCGGTGGGTGGTGGTGACTAGCTGCCTTCCATCTAGTCTTACATTGCTAAATTAGGGATGGCTGGTGCAGATATCCCTCGTGTAGCTTTGCGCGAAATTCAAAAAACAAACATTACAACCGAAATATAATTTTGAAAGTTTTGTAATTATTTAAACACAAAAACTACAGAATCAAAAGAAAAATAGTTATAACAAAGATTATAAAGCCACAGAGTTGTTAATGTAAACGAAGAAAACTGTAGAGTTTTTTTTTATATCACTTTGAAATACCAGCAAAGGTTGACGCGTCAGGCGAGGTATTTTTGTTGTTGTTGGCTTCACGGGGATGGCGGGACGGCGCCCATGTGCGTCATTCGCTGCAAACATCAACGGGGGTAGTGAAATGGCTGTCAAACTCGTAATAATAAGAAAATGAATTAAGTAAGGGATTTTAAAATTCCTCTGTGGAATATTTAAGAAGTCCTGAATGATTCATGGTGATCAAGGGCTGGGAAGTCGGTAAAAAATTTCCTTAATTAAAGCAGACACAAAACGTTTTACTGTAAAGTTTTCAGAGTAGTTTTTGTTATTTTAGGCTTACCTGCAGGATTTTAATTATGAAAGGATACGAGCCAGCAAGGTCAGGCCAAGAAAGTTGAAACCAGAATTCTTTAATCTGAAAAGCAAAGTTAGCTATATCAGATCACCTGAAACCAGATATATTTAGTATAAAAACAAAGATAGCTACACGAGATCAGCTGAAACCAGAAGTATTTAGTCTAAAAAATAAAGATAGCTACATGATATCAGGTGAAACCAGGATTATTTAACCAGATCGGCTGAAACCAGATCTGTTTAATCTGCAAAGCAAAGATAATTCCACAAGATCATCTTTTCATACTAAAAACAAAACAAAACAAATTTACAGTAGCTTTTGACATGGTATATTCACATTTGTGCGCCTGACCGGTTCGAACCGAAACATTCTAGACTTGGTGAGAGAAAACGAAAGTGCGTGGAGACGTTGTCATGGTTACAACAACCTCAACTGCACACGAAAAAGAAAATAATCATGTTATTCAATATATATAGATAGAAAAAAAAACGACTGAAATCGACGGGTTACTAAGAATCAAAATTATTGTAAGTTATTTATTTTTCGCAATTCTCGGTGATTTTAATATTCACCAGTTTTTAAGATGTAGTTTTATTAATCTATCCAAAAGAAATATAACAGTAACTTTAATGTAATATATTTTTTTTTTTTCTGAACGTATGTAATTTCGTTATCCATTTTCCCTCCCAACCCCTTAGGTTTCAGACTGACATAAATGTGCAAAGACCAACTGATGGAAAACAAGAACATTTTGGGTTACGTATACAATTTGTTATGAATATGTGACAGGTAATTGAAATAAAAATTAATCAGAAGTGTCAGTAAGTGATGGGAAATCAACCATATATGTCAGTAAGTGATGGGAAATCAACCGTATATGTCAGCAAGTGATGGGAAATCAACTATATATGTCAGTAAGTGATGGGAAATCAACCATATATGTCAGCAAGTGATGGGAAATCAACCATATATGTCAGTAAGTGATGGGAAATCAACTATATATGTCAGTAAGTGATGGGAAATCAACCATATATGTCAGTAAGTGATTAGGAAATCAACCATATATGTCAGTAAGTGATAGGAAATCAACCATAAATGTCAATGTCAGTAAGTGATGGTAAATTAATCATAAATATCAATAAGTGATGGGGATCAACCAGAAACGTCAATAAGTGATGGGAAAACAACCAGAAAAGAGTGAGTTTTATCATTAGTTATAAATACATGACAAGATGAACTTGGTAGTGTATGATTTTTGTATTATTGTGTTAATCACAATACAAACACGTTTAACTAACGTTCTAGGCTGCAGCACTTGAGTTAACTTCTGAACAATTAATTATTTTATTTTTCAACTAGACAGAAACATATTTGTTACGTACAAATCATCCTGTTTTCTCTGTGAAGGACAGATCATGTTTACGATTCACCACAATATATCTGATTCACTATGATATAATACGTTAGAGGTATGGAAATTTGATACGGTACTATACTTGAGTAGATTGTTAAATAAAAAACATACTATGACCTTACCTGAGTGAAGCATGTAGCAAGTGACACCCTATGACCTCACCTGAGTGAAGCATGTAGCAAGTGACACCCTATGACCTTACCTGAGCGAAGCATGTAACAAGTGACACCCTATGACCTTACCTGAGTGAAGCATGTAGTAAGTAACATCTATTTCCTTATCTGAGTGCAGCATGAAGCAAGTAACAAAATATGACCTTACCTGAGTGAAGCATGTAGCAAGTGACATCTATGTCCTTACCTGAGTGAAGCATGTAACAAGTGACACCCTATGACCTTACCTGAGCGAAGCATGTAACAAGTGACACCCTATGACCTTACCTGAGCGAAGCATGTAACAAGTAACACCCTATGACCTTACCTGAGCGAAGCATGTAGCAAGTGACACCCTATGACTCTACCTGAGCGAAGCATGTACAAGTGACACCCTATGACCTTACCTGAGTGCAGCATGAAGCAAGTAACACAATATGACCTTACCTGAGCGAAGCATGTAGCAAGTAACAACTATGACCTTACCTGAGCGAAGCATGTAGCAAGTAACAACTATGACCTTACCTGAGCGAAGCATGTAGCAGTGTCTACAGCGGAAGTACTGTACTTCACCAAGTTATCCACACTTTTAATCTGTATAACAAGAAATAAAAGTGTATAAGTAAATATTACATAATAAACATACTTAATATCTTTTAATTTTGATTAGTAAAGAAAACGGACACTTTTCTGTCGGGTTAATAACAAATAAATAATATTTGAAAATACGAGCATTATAAAGATTTTCTATAAATTATAAACAACAATTAAGATAAAGTATTTAAAATGTCATAAAGAAGTACCATTAAGTAAGACAGACAGCTATGAATAATATTAAAAATATCAAATATAATTAGTGTTTTCCGTCTGTTGACCGATCCGGTTTTCATCATAAGTCTTTTGGCGCCATCTATCTTTATATATGTATAACAAAATAGAAAAATTATTTCACAAGAGCACCGGTAGGCAGAATGGGGAAAATGAAAACAATAAATCAGAATATTTCTTCAATGTTCAGTTTAAATCTATTGTCTTTTCTAATCCTTAATTGGGATGTCAAGAGACAATCGTGATGGTTATTATAATGTTTTTCCTAATTATGTTATTTTATTAATTCAACATTAAACTACTTATGTTGAAAAATTAGGTGAATTTAATTTTAAAAATTTCACTCTTACAGAAAGTAAAATGTTCTAGTGATTACCATTCCATTGTTTTCTAGAACTTTCTTGCTAGTTTTGTAGCCCGAAGCTGTACGAGGGCTAACTGTACAAGCTGTCCCTAATTTTTTAGCTCAAAGACTAGAGAGAGGCATCGCCCAACGTAAAGTATTGGGTTTATCAAATCGAACAGTGAAATTTGACATTGACCCTAGGATTATAGTCTTGCACGTTAACCTGCGATGGTTTGGAATTCCGTCCAGAGGGGAATGTGTCACAACCTTCAACCATTTGTGTCAATTAGGCCGGAGTTCAGTACCGGATTCTATGTGCCATTTCGGCATGAGAGGGACTTAATTTTTTGTTTTTTTACAGAAACCACTGGGCCACGCCCGATCCTCCTCTAATGACTCGTCAGAGAAAAATAGACGTGTCTTTAGAAGAGGTCTTGGCGTAGCCGAGTGTTCAACGTGCCGGGCTGTAAATCCGAGAGTCCATGGTTTGCGAAGAATGCATTGTTCTTTGAGGATGTGAATATATTATAAGATTGACTATCAAATTCTAGTGTTCGATTCGAGTAGCCCACGCCAATATAAGGTTCTGAGAGACTGAAAATTGAAAAATTATCCTGTTTGTGTTCTTGTAAAACGACGTTTCGAATATTCTTTGAAATTGAAAACTGTCTGGCGTAAAACGATTTACAACGATAAAAGGCTCGTTAAGCCAGTCATTTAACATAATACATTCACTGGTTGAGTGATAAACTTGAGGACTTATAAGGTTACATGTAGCTCATTGAGGAGCATTGTGTTGAAAAACAAATAGAATATTCTGGGTTTGTCTATATTCACTGGTTGAGTGATAAACTTGAGGACTTATAAGGTTACATGTAGCTCATTGAGGAGCCTTGTGTTGAAAAAACAGATAGAATATTCTGGGTTTGTCTTTAAAAGTTAAAATAACGAATCTTTGTCTATAATGTTCTGATAAATGCGTCAGTGGACTAGATTATTACGAACACTAAAAAGATAACAAGTGAAAATCTTACCTTCTGTTCAAGCATGATTTGCGATGAACCACAAGAGAGGAAGAAAGAAGGAAAATGCGGCGGATGTTGAGCCACATTAGAAGAAGAAGAAGAAGCAAAGGATAACGAGTTAATAAAAAAAAAACAGGTTAATATAACAATTAGAAATTAGTAAAAAAAATTCATGAAAATATTAGTAATTTACCAAAGCACTAATCTTGTTAGCATGTGGAGAAATTTGTAAAAATATTTTATTTGAGTTTAAGGAACGAAACGATTTAAATCATAAGATAGTCTTGATATTCTGATTTATGGCGCATACCGTTTCATTTCTAAAGATTTTTAGCAATCTTACTTCTTGATTTATACTTCTCTTTTCTTGTTCGGGTAAATAACGTTGCGCTTTGGTGAGGGGTTTTTCCTGTTCGGGTAACTAACGTTGCGCTTTGGTGAGGGGTTTTTCTTGTTCGGGTAAATAACGTTGCGCTTTGCTGAAGGTTTTTTCTTGTTCAGGTAAATAACGTTGCGCTTTGGTGAGGGGTTTTTCTTGTTCAGATAAATAACGTTGCGCTTTGGTGAAGGTGGAATTCTCCAAAAAACATCAGTTTCACCAAGGGGTGTAACTCGAAAATAATTTCTGTTGTTTGGTCAGTGAGTTAATTAATAAAATTCCATTAAATATTTCATCTTGAATTTTTAAACATCGAAAATAACTAAGCTGGCGTAAACTGATTTCCCCCTGTCAAGTTATCAAGCACGTGGAATGACATCACGCGTAGTAGGCCTGTTTGGGTACTACATAAAAAATCAAACAAAATCCAATAACATTGTATGTCAGCAGTTACGTGCCAAAAAATAAATATTCTGCGAGAAGCCTAAAGTGATGTTTAAATTGAACATAGATAGCACAATATGGCGGCGTGATTTTATTTAATAATTTATTTGATTCACGACTAACTCTCTCTCTCTTTGATTTTCCTGAATGGATAACACTGAGTGAGTTTATAGCTCTAATTGACCAAACGTAAGAAAAGACTTGAAAGCACGTACAACACCAATCACGTTTACTTTCTTTATGCTCTCAACTTTGTCAGTAACTTACGACTGTTTTAAAGATATGTCGGACCTTGAAATAATGACTTGAGAATTCCATTAGTTTTAAAGAAACCAACAGATTGGCCTGAAGGACTGCGGACCGGAAAGTCTAAGGTTCGTGTAGCGGTGCTACTGAGCACGCCCCACATATTCAGTCGTGGGTGCGTTTTAAGAGTGACAGTCATTCCTGGTATTCAGCTGAAATTCGGACAATACCCTTGTGCTGCTCACTGGTTCTGGCCTGGCCATTTGGCCTCTGTGTCGTATAAGTTGCTATTAAGGTTAAATATAGCAAATAACATAAGAAGTCCACTTTAGGAAAATTTCGTTAAAGTATCTTGTTTTCAATACTACTTTTTGAAAGACGCACACACACGAGAAAGGTCTTTCGAATAAACAATACCATTAGGTTTGACGAATAAAGCCATACTCGGGATCGTAACTTATCGCTTCGTTGTATCAATAAAAGGTGAACTACCAATGTATGTTAGCCAGAACCTTACTTGAGACAACGCAAAATAAGGATTCAAAACTCAAAAGACCGGTTTTGTTTGATTATGTATGTATCAAAATTCTCCACATTTTAAAAGTCTGAGTGTCTACGAGACGGTTATATCAAGGAAAATTATATACGCAATAAAATATGTGAAGAAAATTCACTGATTTATATTCAAGACTGTTTAATGAAGTAAATGATGACAAGCGACAGACATGAAAGTTATATTTAAGACCAGCTCTAATTTAGAGAATTCGAGAGTATTCGTTATACCCATCACCGGTTCTTATAAGTTTCATACTTAACAACGAGAAGTCTTTCAGAAAGAAAGTTGAGTCTAGTTAACAATGAGATGTTTCCCAGAAGGAAAGTTGAGTCTACTTAACAATGAGAAGTTTTCCATAAAGAAAAGTTGAGTCTACTTAACAATGAGAAGTTTACCCATAACAAAAGTTGAGTCTACTTAACAATGAGAAGTTTACCCATAAGAAAAGTTGAGTCTACTTAACAATGAGAAGTCTTTCAAAAAGGAAAGTTGAGTCTACTTAAGAACGATAAGTCTTTCAAGAAGAAAAGTTGAGTCTACTTAACAATGTGAAGTCTTTCAAAAAGGAAAGTTGAGTCTACTTAACAATGTGAAGTCTTTCAAAAAGGAAAGTTGAGTCTACTTAACAATGAGAAGTCTTCCAAGAAGAAAAATTGAGTCTACTTAACAACGAGAAGTTTTCCAAGAAGGAATGTTCAGTTCAATGATCAGTCGTTACCTTATCTAACTCCAAAGCTTTTTTGATCCTCTGTCTGGCTTTCACCTTAGCCACAGTGAACCACTGATCGATAACATCGGAGAACCATAAATGATAGTTGGAAATAACAAGTTCCGTTCTTTCACTGTCGGGAGAAGAATATTTTAAAATACATGATCGAAGTCAAGCGTGTTAATATGTCATTTCTCTACATTAAATGTACTTTTCATAAAATACAAAATGGGTAATTCTAAAAATAAAACCAACATTCTAACAGCCCATGAGCGTAAGATATAAACTACAGAAAATACAGTTTTTACACCCAAACATGTATATTACTGGTCGTTTAAGAAATGAGAGTAACGGATAAGGAGCTCTGATTATATCTGACAACTACACATTCACGATTGTATAAAAAAACAGCACCTGTTATATCTAATTCGCCTCAACTTTACACGAAGTATTTTCGTGTGTTTCTAATTTTATTAAAATAAATACTTGAAATTTTTTATACATTATTTACTACTTTCACGGAGAAAAGTAATGACAGTTGATACAAATTAATTTAATAAATTGTTTTACATAAAAACATACGTTAAGAGAAATGTCTTGTCTAGGCGATTAAAAGTGATTCTGGGCGTTTCGTAATTCACCGTTATTCACATTCAGGTGATTGATTAAAACACACAAAAGAAAACTCTGCTATATCCTTCCTACAGACAGATGAACATAGCATCCAAGGACAATATGGACTTTGTAGTCCATCTAGGCTGTTCTATTGTTTGTTTGTTTGCAGTTAAGCACAAAGCTACACAATTGGCTATCTGTGCTCTGCTCACCACGGGTATCGAAACCCAGATTCTAGCGTTATTAATCCGCAGATATACCGCTGTGCCACTTGGGGGCAGGCTGTCCTAAACACTAAACTATATATATATATATATAAACAATGTCAATCCTTATCATGCAAATATTTATCAAGCCTTTTCTGAAACTCTCTTACATTTACTTGTACCACCACATCTGAAGACAAACCAAATACAAAATTATAAACTAAACTACAAATAAGAATATTAATCAGATCCTTAAGCATATTTAAATAAGGTATTCTATAAACTTCAAGTTTGTTTTCATATTAGGGTAAGTTGTCCTAACCACCTAGGTACGCGTTACTTCCAACTTCATTCAGAAGTAAAGATGGTAAACAACACTCACTCTGGTGGTAAGTTATCTCTAAAGCGGACAAACTCCTGTAGATTCAAGTAGAGTTCAAACATGGCTGTCCCCAACTCCACTGTTTGAGACTCAGCAACTCCATCGGTGGCCGAAGCTTTGCAGCAGGTTTCCTGTACTTTATAACCTACATTTTCTTCAACCTAGGATCAATAAATACTTCTTTGAGTCGGGATACAGTGATATTTTTGATTGGCTCACAAAGGAATTTACCGACGTTTGATTGCATCGACTGCACGTTTCTACCTCTTTTTTTTGGTCAAACTTGTTTCGCAAAATTTATTTATTTCATTTAGCTATGAAATGTGAGGTTAGGGTACACTATGGGGTACGAGGGTTAGTACTTGCCCCGCTAGTTTAAAGAATAAATCCATGTTAATGTGAAAGGATAAATATCTTAGGATGTAGTTAAGATAATTCATGAAATGAATTCGTGGTGTATTCATAGAATAATTATTGGTGAAAATCAGTTAGATTAACAACTTTTAATATATAGAAAAGCCAGTGTGTTTTGGTAACACTACGTTCCAACAATGGCTTTTATGTCATGTTGCTTAGCTACAAAAGTACAACTTAATATTGTTTGTTAGTCTATGTACTGAAAGTAAAAAGTGAAATGTATAGACAAAAAATATTTGTTGATTTCTTAATTTAGAGCCTCCGTTGATTAAAGAGGTTTGTTTTTTTTTATTTAAAATGTTGGTGATATAACAGAAAAGAGCTTAATTTAGAAACAATTTAAGTTTAAAATTAATTCGATTTTTCTACTTTCGTGATAAATTTTATGCACTTGGCTCTAGGCTAGGTGATCCCACACTGAGTCTTTACTTTAGGTATATTATACCAACACTCACTACACTTATAAGGTTTCACGGACCCCCCCCCTGACGAGCCCCTTCACTAAAATCGTAACGAGCAGATAGTAATCAAACTATTCTATCTGGATAAACGCATTTAGGCTTTTATGATTCCGCCTATTTCGAGAAATCAAGTGTGACGTGACGTGACACACAATGGATTTTATATAAGTTAATTTCACAAACAACACAGGAACATATGGATAAATTTATAAGTGACAACATACGAATAGTATACACTCACAGGGTTGGTTTTTAGTTTTGATCTGAGCAGGTGGCCTGTTTTAATTGCAAAAGCAATATTAATTACTAACACATAACAAACGAATCACTCGAGAATAGCTAAGGATAGAATTAAAACCAACCTTGTGCAGTTTCTTGGCAACAAGATCCGCCAACTACGTAGCAGCGTGCAACAAAATGAAGTAATAATTTATACAAGAGCAGATAAAGTTTCCAACCAACCTTAGTTAGTTAGAGCTTCAAAGTTCAATAAGTTATAAACATTTCAAATTAAGCTATCGAATTCTTTACAGAGTTAAACAGCATATCAATACACTTCAGTAACATCAATATTCCTTTCAAAACGTGGCTGTTTAATCGAAAATCTCTCGTGTACGATACTACTTATATGTTGCTGGTAGTGTATTCCAGGCCTGTTTTTGTGTACGATACTACTTATATGTTGCTGGTGGCCTATTTCAGGCCTGTTTTTGTGTACGATACTACTTATATGTTGCTGGTAGTGTATCCCAGGCCTGTTTTTGTATACAATACTACTGGTATGTTGCTGGTGGTCTGTTTCAGGCCTGTTTTTATGTAAGATACTACTTATATGTTGCTGGTAATGTATTCCAGGCCTATTTTTGTATACGATACTACTTATATGTTGCTGGTTGTACATTTCAGGACTGTTTTTATGTAAGATACTACTTATATGTTGCTGGTTGTACATTTCAGGCTTGTTTTTATGTAAGATACTACTTATATGTTGCTGGTTGTGTATTTCAGGCCTATTTTTGTATACGATACTACTTATATGTTGCTGGTTGTACATTTCAGGACTGTTTTTGTATAAAATACTACTGGTGGTCTGTTTCAGGCCTGTATTTCAGGCCTGTTTTTGTGTACGATACTACTTGTATGTTGCTGGTAGTGTATTTCAGGCTGTTTTGTATACGATACTACTTATATGTTGCTGGATGTGTATTTCAGGCCTGATTTAGTATACAATACTACTTGTATGTTGCTGGTGGTCTGTTTCAGGCCTGTTTTTGTGTACGATACTACTTGTATGTTGCTGGTGGTGTATTTCAGGCCTGTTTTTGTGTACGATACTACTTGTATGTTGCTGGTTGTGTATTTCAGGCCTGTTTTTGTATACGATACTACTTATATGTTGCTGGTTGTGCATTTCAGGCCTGTTTTTGTGTACGATACTACTTATATGTTGCTGGTTGTGTATTTCAGGCCTGTTTTTGTATACAATACTACTTGTATGTTGCTGGTGGTCTGTTTCAGGCCTGTTTTTGTATACAATACTACTTGTATGTTGCTGGTGGTCTGTTTCAGGCCTGTTTTTATACAAGTAGTATTGTATACATTGCTGGTGGTCTGTTTCAGGCCTGTTTTTGTGTACGATACTCTTGTATGTTGCTGGTGGTGTATTTCAGGCCTATTTTTGTGTACGATACTACTTGTATGTTGCTGGTTGTGTATTTCAGGCCTGTTTTTGTATACAATACTACTTGTATGTTGCTGGTTGTGTATTTCAGGCCTGTTTTTGTATACGATACTACTTGTATGTTGCTGGTAGTGTATTCGAGGCCTGTTTTTGTGTACGATACTACTTATATGTTGCTGGTAGTGTATTTCAGGCCTGTTTTTGTATACGATACTACTTATATGTTGCTGGTAGTGTATTCCAGGCCTGTTTTTGTCGTACTAATTTTTGAATTTGCACAATGTCCCGAATTATTTCTAAAATAATTACAACAGATAAACTTAACTTCATAAATAGAATGTTTATCAACTTGAAGTTTAAAAGTAGTTCTATATAGCTTTAACTGTGAATAAAAATGTCTGATAAACATTTGGTAGCTTCAATTAAGTCTATGGGAGATTAATCAACCCACTGAATGAAGGGGCAAGGTTTTAGCCGCGGCATAACGGCTCATTGAACGACCCTGAATTTTTTTCTTTTTCAAGTACAAACTTTTAGCTCATAATTACATCTCTTGACTGATTTTTTGATCTGATTACAGCCGCGGCTATTGAGATGTTTTTAGATTGAGAACCACACTACCGTAGTCCTACCACACATTTACGTTTTAAGGATATTTATTACCAAACAAAGTTGTGGAGGCTTTTTGAATTCACTTTACCTCAGGCATTCAATTTATTTTTGTTTAAAGACGGAAATAAAGGAAAGATTATAAACCGGAAAACTCACCAATTTCTCTAACTGCTTATAGACGACGGTTGAATAACTGACTTTGACGTTACTGTTGAAGAAAGAAAATGCTTCAATCTGGCGCCTGTCATATAATAAGTTTACTTGTAAAGACACTTCTAAGAGAAAATTAATGTGTAAAGGCCCTTCTTACAGGAAACTAACGTGTAAAGACACTTCTTAATGGAAATGGCACGTAAAGATACTTCTAAAAGAAACTAACGTGTGAAGACACTTATAAAAGGATACTAACGTGTAAAGACACTTCTTAATGGAAATGGCACATAAAGATACTTCTAAAAGGAAACTAACGTGTGTAGACACTTCTAAAAGGAAACTAACGTGTGTAGACACTTCTAAAAGGAAACTAACGTGTAAAGACACTTCTAAAAGGAAACTAACGTGTAAAGACACTTCTAAAAGGAAACTAACGTGTGTAGACACTTCTAAAAGGAAACTAACGTGTAAAGACACTTCTTAATGGAAACTAAC